AATATTTTGGGCCTTATTCTATCTGAAATAACCAGCCCAGTTAAAAAAAATTACCAACCCTTTCCCTTATCGATTAGGGTTCCTCACGCTTTCTTCCTCACCCGATTGCCTTTTCGGATTTCTAATCACTTCATAGGCATTGATAATCTTTACTGTCACATTAATCACTCATGATCCAGATTGATTGTGAGATGGTAATGGTTCAATGCGGTGATTGTCATCTATAAAAAGGTGAGATCTTTTATTCGCGTTCTACATCCCAAATCTTTCAATTTTATAAAGATCTCAGCTATGGCTAACGTTTTAGTTCTCCTCTCTGATCTTCAGGCCGGTCGCTCTTCTTCAACCGTTCATATGCTTTGAATGAAGATTTTTTTTTGACAGGTTCGATATCAAGATTATGTCACAGGGTTTGAGGATCTTGAACAGGCTAGGATCTTTGTAAGAATCAGTTCACAAGCTATTTACTTGCATAAGTTTATTAAGATACTACTTCTTGAATGATGTTTACAGCATGGTAGCAGCATTAGGATATATATTTGCGTCTCTTTGGTGAGCCAGGGCTTGCAAGGACAACCTCTCAATGGAATTACTTTTGCTGCTGGTTTTGCTGTCTTCCAAATAATATTTTCCTACCAAGTTATTATTCTTTACTTTCTCACCTGTAGCTACATATATCATCTTGACGGTTTCATCTGTGTTGGAACTAAGATTGATGTCTTGCTCGCCATTTTGATTATTCCCAGCTAACCTCTGGTGGAAGCCAACATCTCTGTCGAATTGCTTAAACTTCTTCTCAACGGGTATCAATAACCGGTACGAAACATGACTTTATTCAATTATTTTCAGTACCGCTTTAATAACTCATCTCTTACTCCTCACACGATCTGTCATTCAGTACATCATCTCCTTTCTTCCAATATGGGAATCTGCAGTTATAAATATGTAAGTTTCTTTCCGTAAAATTCATCATTTTATTTTCGCAATTCTTAATTTGGTTTTGTTCTTAAAGGAGGCTTCAGCAGTTGATGAGCAAAGAAAGGGTATGTGTCTATTGTTTTATTTATTTTTTTCCTTTGTCAGATATTGAAGATATTAATTTTGAGCTCACCTTGCTTCACCTTTGCATTTAATTTAATGTTGGTTGAAACGAAATTAATTCATCGGTCTATGTCGTAACTTCTTTACTTATATAAAAAGGGAACTGTAATCTACTTACTGGATTTGGGTTTAGATTGTGAATGGAATCACTCTGTGTAAAGTATATGGTACAAGTAGAATCTATATAGGTTTGAGAGTTACAAGATTCTTAGTGTTCTAGCATGATCTTCTGTTCTTTTTTCTTTTTGCGATTCTGATCGATGGAAGTTATGCACTGTTTTGGATCTAAAGATTTTGATTTCTGTGTCAAAAAGTTTCTTGGTAGTTAAAAAAAATACAATTTTTCTTATCATGAAAAGGCATAAACTTTACTAATGGATCATTGTTGCTTTCTTTCATAATATGTGTGCTTGCTTTGTGAGCTCATGGTGGTTATACAATTACATGTACTTGATCCTACAGAAATTAAATCCCATGAATTCATAAGGTACGGCTTGATGTCTTTGGAGACGTTGCAGCGAAAGAAAAACATTGCGCAAGAGAATGCCTTGAACGGATGCGGATTATGGTGAATACTATATAGGCATCATTATCCTTTAGCAATGGGAGTTGGAATTATAAAGTTAGGCATAATCATGATGATTATCGATGGCACGTGATGGTGGTACACTTGATTGGGTTTTTGGTTGTCTTGATGAGAAACACAAAGCATGGCATGATTATCTTGACATACACAACCTTGCTGCTTGATAATTTCTAAAAACACTTCATATTTAGTCTCTGAACATATACCGAATGGATCTAGAATCAACTCTAACTATCAAAATTGTCTCACTCTTCTCCTTCATGTCTCTTTATTTTTCTCCTATAAAATAAGCCTCTTGGCATTGAGACAACAAACACAGTAACAAGCAACTGCAACTTATATGTTCCTGCTTTCTAAGTTGAAATCACCGTTCTATTTTCACAGGCTGTTGACATCCGTCGTCTCTTTAACGTCAAAAATGGCGGCGAGCTGGACATGGACATGCTCCCTAATTGATGAAGAGGTAGACGTTCCAATCCAACGTCTCCAACTGATATCGTTCTACTCAGCCTTAGCAGAGTACTTGAAGAAAAATCTTAACCTGCTCAGCTGACTTGCAGCAGAAGCAATGTGTCACCACAAGAGAAAGCATCAATGAAGAAACAAAAGACTTAGATACTGAAGGTAACCACATCAGTCATTCAGTGTTTTATCATTATCTTGATATTATTAATGCGTTTTTAGTTCAGCATGTTCAACTCATCTAACCATGCTACTAAGCAAACCTTTCATGACTTATGTCTTTGTTACATGCTTTTGTACGAAGGGGTGGTGATCGTTGGTGATTGCTCAATCTTAAACTCATTTTATAAGTAATGTTTTGGCCTTTTATCAGACCGCCAATATAGTAAAATAGAACATATATATATGCTAAAATTTAGTAACACAAACGGAACTTGGTGAAACATTAATCAATATTTAATAAATAGTTAAAATAAAATACATAATTTCATTTAACTAAATAATTTTAAAAATTAAAGATAGAAATTTACAAAAACAGAGGAAATCTCACTTAACAATTATGTTCTCCAGTTTCATTAAACTCATGTCAACAAAAAGAAAAATAGAGAATTCAGAAGAAAGGTTTTCTATATTTTCTCACCAACTCAAATTTAAAGAAACTAACAATAAAAAAAATTGCAACTAAACAGTATACATATCCAAACATATATCAAAAAAACTGTTTAGAAATTAAAATAATAAGATATAATAAATAAAATAATAAGAATTTATTAATACATAATATAACTCGACTTTGGTAAAGAAATTAGTCAATAATAATAATTTAGAAAAATGCATGATATAATCAAACGATACATATATCTAAAAAATAGCATAAACTCATAAAAGCAAAAATCATGACTCATTTACTATATTGTTTTTCATGTTTAATCAAACTTAGGCAAAACAAAAAGTGTATCATATCACGAAACTCAAGTGGAGAAATTAACATTTACGAAAGCGGTCTAATATTATAAATCACCTAAGACATCTCTAAAGTATTTTACTATTTCTACTTAGAAAGTTGAAAAATCTATAATAGATGTAAGACATGCTTCAATGTATATTCTTAAGTTTTAAATAATATAGTAATAAAACCTAAATTTTGTATTTCTTCCTCTATAAATAGAGACAAAATAGTCTATAAATAGAGGAAAAATAGTAAGCTCTGTAATAAAAGAAAAAATAGAGATGGACTGAAACAATTTGACCATAATTGGTATAATAATAAAAATAGCAATGAATTGAAAATGTTATAAGAAGTCATATAGCCTATTAAGGATACCATATTTGTTTACAAGATATAACAAATACAAAATTAAAAAAAAACACTATATAAATACATATTGTTTTCATGATATAATAAGAGGCTAAAGATATCAATATGCAAATAAATGTATTTCTGTTATGAAATCCAAAAAAAAAAGTATAATTTGATACTGATTAAAAAGTAAAGTGTATATACTATCAAAATTAAGAAGACCACATTCCCCTTTATATATAAATAAAACTTTTTTCTCAATACTGGGATTGTCACGTCAGTAAATAGGCTCACCAGAATGCGACACGTGACTTGGTCATAATTTATCAGATGATAAAATTTATAGTTTTTATTTGCAAATATACTTACAACTTTAAAATTTTAATGAATTTATATATGATTTTGTTAATCAATATTATTATCTATATTCATGTATTTTAGTATTTGTTTTAATATATATAAAATTGATTTAAAAAAAATATTTAATTTATATATAATTTCTTATTGTAAATAAATAAAAACACATCATAATTTATCAAAAAATGATCGAAATCAACCTCAATTTGATGATATCAATTATTAACATTCTATAAAACAACTACAATTGCGTTGACAAAGAATCCTCACATAAAAAGATACAATGGTATTGGAAATATAGATCTCATCTTCTTTTGACCAAATCTGATTGATTTATATATTTTATAGTGTTATAAAACTGAAAACACTATAAAATTTTACAATTTAGGATTACAAGAGCAAAATACTAAGAATTCAATAATTTTAGTTTTTTTTTTGTAACACCAATAATTTTAGTTATATAGTTGAAATTAGTTGTAGACAACAAAATCATATTCACATTCAATCTAACATAAAATGAAATTTACATAAAATTATAGATTTTATTAAAATTGATCCATCAAATCCGGGCGGGTCTACCCTAGTATTATAAATAAATATCTGAATGACACCTTACTTATAAACTATGATTTGGTTGGCTTTTCCCATTACCTTATAATTTTATATTAAACTCTTAAAAATGTAATATAACATAACATTGGATAAGAAATTGAATAACACTAGAATGTACACAAATTATAATTTTGTATTGAATAATAAGATTAAAATTTTATAAAAAAAAAGTAAATTCATTTTTGTTAATTCTTTTAAGTGGATTAATCCCCACACACCCCTAAATTTCTCCATGGATAAAAGAGGTAATAAATGGTAAGCAATCAGTCGAAAATTAAGGTATGATATATAACACCACCTTTTATATTTATCGTTTATACAGTGAAATGTTAAGAAACCAAATAGAAAAAATAAAAAAAACACATAAGATGAACCGTGTGGATTCAAACGGTGCAAATTAAACTCCATTAACAACCAAAACCAAACTTCCTTCTCTCCCCGCCTATTCACAAGTAGGGAGTAGAGAGAGAGACTCACTCACTCTTCTTCACCTTCCTCTCTCTCTCTTTAGATTTTCCCGGGAAAAAAGGGAAAACAAAATCAAACGCACTATATCATCTCTCCTTCCTCTTTCGGAGTAAAATGGATAAGTATCAATACACGAGATTCTGTTTCTTATCGATCTGCGTCGGATCAATCGCACTCGTTTTCGCGATCTCTCGCTGTTCAGTCTCTTTCTTCGACTACTCTCTCCACAAACTCGAATTCTCTTTCCCGGAAAGTGAGCTGCAACGTAGCTTCCACAACGCCGCCGGAGACGAGAACAGAGTCGTGGACTCGAGTGACGTCGTCTCTCAGCAGATCCTCTCCGTCAGATCGAGAAACGCCACTGTAAGCAAACCTTTCTTCATCATCATCGTGATCGTAACGATTCGTTCTGTTAAAATTTTCGAAATGATCGTAACTGTCCGGTTTAGTCATGTGGATTAAATCAGTTGCAGAGTAAACCGGAGAATAAGAGGAAGAAGCTAAACCGGAGAAGGATGGTGGAAGTAGGACTAAGCGAAGCAAGAGCTTCGATACGTGAAGCAGTTTCTTCTAACCGTAACGTTACATTGTTCAACGTTGATCTTCCCAACACACTAGTCTACCGTAATCCCTCTGCTTTATATCAGTAAGTTATTATTATCTTTTTTTTTTTTTTTTAATTATTACTCCCTCTGTTTTAATATAAGTGTCACTCTACAGCTATACACACGGATTAAGGAAACAATTAATTTTACACATTTCCTATATAAAAACACAATTACCCACACACCTAACCATATTTTAACCAATAGAAAAACAAATTACATAATAAAATTAATAAATTTTGCATTGAAAACCGAAAACGACACTTATTTTGTAACACAAAAAATTCTCTACAACGACACTTAATATAAAACGGAGGGAGTATCTTTCATGAGCTTAATATTTAAACTAGAGAAACTTTAGATTCAAGACAGAAGAAAAGTTCTTTAGCTTCCAAAACTTGGAGTTAAAACTTTACTTTAACGATCGTTTTTCTGCACACGGCTAATTTTTCTTTTTTGCATTTGAGTAGTAATTATTAAAAATAATTCTTCTAAGTGACGCTAAGAGTCGGATGAGTGTGGACCAATCAAACTCAAATTTATTCTAAATTTGGTTATTGTTTGTATCGAAGATTCACACACACACATAGGACACCACTCGTTTTGTATCATAGTCTCTGAAAAGTATGTAGTAAAGTTATTTATTATTCATGATGAAACCCACTGATTCATGATCTTTTAGAGAAACTCCTTTCACAAGCAAAATCCAATTCATTGACGTTACATATAGTATAGGATATGCTATTGGTGTAATTTAATCAGTACCAGTCTATGTAAAAACTTAGGCGGTGCAATTAAACTCTCTGCTACCGGATTAAGGTCTGTTATATGTCACTTTCTTAAACATTTGGCCTTTATCAATTACGGCTCAGCAGCTATATTATGTAGACAGTTACAGTTTTATACTTATCACATGGTCCGCTTAATAATGGTATGGTGGTCCATAAACACTTTTAGTCAACACTAAGATTTAAATTTGTACTTGTAATGTGCGTACCCAAGTGTCAGGTAGCTGCAGCATGCAGTGATAGATTAGTAAGCTAAAAAATCACAAAAACAATTATCTACACAAATGCTAATCTTTTTTTTTACTGCAGGAGTTACTTGGAAATGGAGAAGAGGTTTAAGGTGTATGTATACGAAGAAGGCGAGGCACCGTTAGTACATGATGGACCTTGCAAGAGCGTATACGCAGTTGAAGGCAGATTCATTAGAGAGATTGAGAAAAGTCGAACCAAGTTCCGTACATACGACCCTGACCAAGCACATGTTTACTTCTTGCCCTTTAGTGTTACTTGGCTTGTCAGATACTTATACGAAGGCAACTCAGACGCTAGCCCTCTGAGAACTTTTGCTTCTGACTACATCAGACTGATATCCAGTAACCACCCTTTCTGGAACCGAACCAGTGGTGCTGATCACTTCATGCTTGCGTGCCACGATTGGGTAATTAACATCTCATATATTCATGCTTGCGTATCAAGAAATGACTATTTTTTATAATTGGGTTTAATGCAGGGACCTCTCACTTCACAAGCTAATAAAGATCTCTTCAACACATCAATCCGCGTCATGTGCAATGCTAACTCATCAGAAGGGTTTAACCCTGCAAAAGACGCGACTCTCCCTGAGATTAAACTCTTCGGCGGCGAAGTTGATCCCAAACTCCGTCTCTCTAAAGCCCTAATGGTTTCCCCGAGACCACATCTCGCCTTCTTCGCAGGTGGAGTCCACGGTCCGATCCGTCCCATTCTTTTACACCACTGGAAACAACGTGACCCGGACATGCCCGTTTTCGAATACCTTCCAAAACACTTAAACTACTACGACTTCATGAGAAGCTCAAAGTTCTGTTTCTGTCCCAGTGGCTACGAAGTAGCTAGCCCTAGACTCACCGAAGCCATCTACTCCGAGTGCATCCCCGTCATTCTCTCCGTTAACTTTGTCTTACCCTTCAGTGATATCCTTCGCTGGGAGACTTTCTCTGTACAGGTCAACGTCTCAGAGATTCCGAGGCTCAAGGAGATTCTCATGTCAATATCTGATGAGAAATACCAAAGGCTTAAACGTAATTTGAGGTACGTGAGGAGACATTTCGAGCTCAACGATCCACCTAAGAGGTACGACGCGTTTCACATGATACTTCACTCCATTTGGCTACGTAGGCTTAACTTGAGGCTCACGTAAGGAAGAACAGATCATTAGGTCATATTAAAAAAAAAAAAAAACATATTGTTAGCTTTTCTTTTAACACATACCTCATGTGTAAGTAGTACCATAACGTCTAGATATAAGTGAGAAACATACATTTGGTGTTATTACTATAAAACCAATGGTGAATTATTGCAACTTTTTTCTAATCTTTATACCATACTAAACTCTAGTAAACTATTTGATCATCTGTGAGAAAGTCTTCCGATTTGCGACCGTAGGATCTCACCGAGAGAGAAACGGTGGGCTTGCTGTTGCGGTGGCGGTGCTGCAGCCAAGGCTGGCTGTTCATGAGCCGCGACTCTGTCTTCATTCTTGACCTCGAGGTGGATAGGTCTCATCTCTTTCTTCACTGACTCCACAAACTCCATATCAATCTTGTTCCCGGAAATGTCTCTGACGTAAAATGCGTTGAGAGACTTCTGTCCCTGTGTCTCCACGTCTGCACGGACAACAGTCAAACCGTTCTCACGTAGCACACGAGATATGTCGGAAAGTAAGCCTACTCTGTTCTCTGCACACAACTCCAACTTCACCCCCTGCATTATCCACACATACACCACAACTTTGTTTACCATTCTTAACTAGAAACGTTAAGGACTTTTCTCTTTTACCTCGCAAACACGACGTTCTATAGCAGCTTCCAAGCATTTAATCACACGTTCTTTCTCTCCTTCAGTGTTCAATGCACGTCCATCTATGTGTCTTATGAAGTATTCCTACAAGGTTTACATAAACATCAAAACCCTAAAGATTTAACTGATCTAAAGAGTTGCTATGTTCTTTGTCTTACCTGAAAGGCATCAGCTCCATCAGACCGGAGAGCAGCGTGGAAGATAACGTATTGCATATCAATCAACGTGCAGATCGTATCAAACATGAGTCTTCTCCGATCTTTAGACTTCACCGTCACTATCGAATACCCTCTGTCTTCGCAGTTTCCAATAGAAACACTCGTCGTCTTCCTCTCACAATACTCCAATTTAGACGAAAACAGCGACAACGACGTACTACCACAGAACGGTTCATCAAAGTCTCTCACAGAGAGCATCAGCTGATGCAACCTTCTCTCCACGTTGGAGTTCATACACCCTTTGCCTTGTCCAGCAAGAAACTTATCTGTTTCATTCTCCTTGTGACCCACGTGAGTTGAGTTGGCGGCTGGATCGGCTGTGGCGCGGATCACGGTACTGAGGTGGTCTTCAATGGAAGCTAAGCGGCTTGGATCATCGATGGGAGCGTGAGTACTGTCGTCAGAGACGTAGGCAATGCAAGCTAAACGAGCGTTGTGGCTCCAAGCGTGAGCTTCTAAGACGTTGCAGTGTAAGTCAGCGAAAGCAGCGAATATCTCTGAGAAGAGTCCTGGTCTGTCTGTTCCAGTCATCTCTATTGCTGTGTGCTCACCGTGATCAATCAATGGAGGTTCCAAAGGATTTAGTTTTGCATTTTCATTGGCTTCATTGGCCTTTACAGAGTCTGACTCTCGCCTACTCGTGCCAATGGCCTACATTTCAAATCTCAGAACACTCAAATCAAAGACAATATCTGGTTAAGTTAAGATCTAAGTGTGTGACGAACATGTTTGATGTGGTTGATGACGGTTTTATCAGTGAGTTTACTTCCATGCTCGTCTTTAACATGGAAAACTGCAAACAAAGTAAATAATCTCTTAGACTAATCAGAATACATAGAATGAGGAAAGGTGGATAGATGCGTACCATCCATGAACCATCCACCATCAGAAGAGATGTAACTCTTGGTGATGATAAGATTCATGTCTGTCAAGATCTGCACCACTTCTAGAAGAAGTCCTTGTTTGTTCTCACTATTCACCTATTCATTATTAACCAAAACACACAAGAACCATTGGATCCAATATGTTTTCCTACAATATCTATAAACTCATGCAACCTTGTGTGCGTACCTTGACAACGGTGCAATCTTGGATGCTGTCGTTGTCGATGTAGACCCTGCATCTGTAAATTACACACACCAAAAAATGAGATGGTGATGAAAATTTGTTGTTCATAGGATATGAAACAGAGGAAGAGAGCAGAGAGCTTACGGTGGACCGTAAATGCGTTCACCAAGATTGTCAAAATCAGGATCAAAGTAAGGCCAGCAAACTTTCTGCATTGTCTCTACCAAACGATCTGTGATTCCTGTGTTAGAATTAGGACAAAAAGATACAAGATGAAGGAAGAGGTAACAGATTCCTTTAAATAACCAGCAGATGCAGAGATATGTGTATCCACAGATATGATTTTTTTTTTTTACAGATATGATTTGTATATAAGCGTAGGCTAAAAGTGTAAAGGAAAGGAAGGAAAAGAAAGATAGGTAAGATAGTTTGGTGTTTTAGACAGAGGAGGAGATGGATGAAGAAGAGATCTCCACCTTCGAATACAAAGGATTTGACAAGATAGTCATTTACTATGTTTAGCTAAGGGGATTAGTATGTTATAACGTGTGGAAGAAGTTAGTTCTATTATAGATACATGTAATGATAATGACAAAATCATTCTCGATTTGGTTAATATATAGGGTGGAGTAGCAAGTACAGGTCAAGAACTTGTCAAAGGTCAAAGACAAGAAACGGTAAGAGACTTAGTGAAAAAAAACAAGGTGTTCCATGTTTTCTTGCTTCTCATTCTCTTCTAATTTATCAACCGCCACATGTTTCCCTAAGTTTCAGGAGGAATTAGAGTTGCAGAATCTCTGTTAATGATACTAAAATCATTTTCTAAATATAGTAGAAGTGAGATCTTTAGCTCAAATGTGAATAATTTAGAAGCCACATACACAAGAAGGTGTGATCTCTTCTCTTTACACATACCATTTGGCTTTGAAACGGTCTTTCTACCCATATCATTCGTACTATCTAATGCCTAGAATCATTGTAGTCAGCACTTCTACTGCATATACACAAAGTACTAACCTAGGAATGCTNTAGTAGAAGTGAGATCTTTAGCTCAAATGTGAATAATTTAGAAGCCACATACACAAGAAGGTGTGATCTCTTCTCTTTACACATACCATTTGGCTTTGAAACGGTCTTTCTACCCATATCATTCGTACTATCTAATGCCTAGAATCATTGTAGTCAGCACTTCTACTGCATATACACAAAGTACTAACCTAGGAATGCTATATTAACATGAAATGTATTCATGACAAAACCAACCATCCAAATGGTTACATATAGATCCAAAAATGGTATAACGCCATGCTCCTAAACAACTGAATACCCACCTTTAATTAACTTCTCTAATCAAAAACTAAAAAAAAACACCATTACTTAGAAGAATCTGAAAGTGCCATAACGTGGATGAACACTGTAAATCAGAGCAAATTGCAAAGAAACATTGGATGAACACAGTATATCAGATCAAAGATTTAAGAATCTAATCTCTACTTAAAGCCAGCAGTAAAAAAAACATTCATCACTTAAAGAAAGGCATGCACATACACACAGCATTGACACATAGCTCAGATCACATTACTGAAGAATAATATAAGTGGAAGAGAGAGAGAGGTAGAATGTATCCTTACTTGGAGCATAAAGGAAGCGTTGGTCTGAAGCAAGTGAAGGGCATAGCTATGTTTAAGTCCTGCGAGAATCGCCATAAAAGTATCACTTCAGTTAATAGCAAAGCAGCTTAAGGTAGAATCGCCATAAAACAATCACTTGAAGAAGTCTTAAAAGGAGAAACCTTTTATATCAGTCTCTTCCCCCAAGTCTTAAAAGGAGGAACCTTTATACCAGCAAGTGTCTTTCCCACCACACTGAAACTGAACAAAAGGCATAAAGCAAGTGCTCGATTAAAATCGAAACAGTAGAAGCAAAAGCAGTGTGAACTTACTTAACACGTAGAATCAAACTCTGTTTCTGCTTCACACTAAACTTTTGGAAACTTGATGAAGTACTAATCCTTATCTTCTTTCAGGAACTCTGGTTTTGAATTTGAGTGTTGTTCACACAGGAGAAACTTGCTTTTCCGATGAGGCGGTGACGCCGTGAATATCTAATAATGACGCCACCGATTAATTCTCACTCTAACGTTTGGGCTTTACAAGGTTTTAAGCCTCACTGTGTCCGGCCCATTAGTAGCAGCTTTAGTGAAAACGAACAACAGAATCTAATTTTTAAATCGTTACATAAACTGATGTATTGATTTGACCAAAAAAAAATCTTTACATAATATTAAAGGGTTTTCTGCAGAAAAACTCGCAAAGATGATTTTTTTTTTTTTTTTTTTGATAATCTAGGGTTCCCCGCTTCGCGGATCAATTTCCTGGGCTCGGTCAGGCAGCGGTCCACTTCACCTGGGAGGGTTGTACCTGAGCCTAGGTCCAGTACCACTTTAGTGACATGGAAGAGGCAGTTCGCCACCGCCTGGTGTCGAACCCGTGAGCATGACAATTGGCCCCCAAGGTCCTTTGCTAGGCGGGCTACCTCATCCCGTCAAAGATGATTTATTTTGCGTATTAAACCACGAACTTGAAAATCCACAGCTCAAACCACGAAATCATGATCAACTCGCAGTATAACTTTGGTCGTGTATGTATAAGAGTATACTAGATTTTCATCCGGAAATTTTTATGATTAAAAATTTGGAAAAAAGTTTGTCAGCTACACGAAGTATTGGCTAATATGGTGGTAACCATTCCAGGTTTCAGAATGTGTCGAGAACTACACGAAGTTTATTTAAATACATGCCACATACACGAACTTAATAATTATATGGTGCCAACATCACGACCGAGTTTAATTGATTCTAATCAAAGGTTTTGGGGCCAAACTGTAATTAATTAAAAAATCAAGTTAAAACAAAAAACAAAAAAAACTGAACGAACCAAGAACAAATCGTCGGTTTTGTGCTGGTTAGTGAACTCGAAAAGACCCATATTCTTCCCCCAATTCGAAATCTAGGGTTCATAATTTCGTTTTCATACAAAGAAACAGAGAGAGAGGGAGAGAGAGAGAGATATCGAGAGAGAGAGAGAGAGAGAGATGGAATTGGGAGGATGGAATAGGGAGGATGGCTCTTAAACTCTTCTTCATAGACCACATTTCTTCTTGTCTTGAGGATATATCTGATGACATGCCTCTTAAACTCTTCACCGTTGTAAAAAGTCTGTCTAAGACTAAAAATCCCATCTAATTCTCCTCTTGCAGCCATCCTCTCAGCTTGCTCTTCTTGCAGCCATCCTCCCAATTCCATCTCTCTCTCTCTCTCTCTCTCTCTCTCTCTCTCTCTCTCTCTCTCTCTCTCTCTCTCTCTCTCTCTCTCCCTCCCTCTCTCTCTGTTTCTTTGTATGAAAACGAAATTATGAACCCTAGATTTCGAATTGGGGGAAGAATATGGATCTTTTCGAGTTCACTAACCAGCACAAAACCGACGATTTGTTCTTGGTTCGTTCGGTTTATTTTGTTTTTTGTTTTAACTTGATTTTTTAATTAATTACAGTTTGGCCCCAAAACATTTGATTAGAATCAATTAAACTCGGTCGTGATGTTGGCACCATATAATTATTAAGTTCGTATATGTGGCATGTATTTAAATAAACTTCGTGTAGTTCTCGACACATTCTGAAACCTGGGATGGTTACCACCATATTAGCCAATACTTGTGTAGCTGGCAAACTTTTTTCCTTAAAAATTTATATAATTGGGTTTTGTCTTAATTTAAAGAATGTTTTGGTATAAAATTAGTTTACCAAAATTTGTGGTGATAGTTGTTTTTCATTAGTTTTTAGTTTCAGTTTTTATTTTTAGATTTTGTTTTAAATTTTGGCTTTTTGTTTTTAGTTTTTAAGTTTCTATTTTTGATTTTCAGCTTTTGGTTTGAGTTTTTAATTTTTAGACCCGCTGAGTTAGCTTGAATTGATATTACCAATAAACAAATCTCAACTAATCGAACATGTAATTTAAAACTGAAAAGATGACAAAACAATTTTCTAAAAATTTTGAAATAGTTTATTTTGTAAATAAAAAAAACAAAAAATATAACCTGCATTTTCAGCTTTTGGTTTGGGATTTTAGTTTTTAGATTTGGTTTTTGGTTTTGCTTTACATTTTTTTCTAAATCTGTAAATTATTTAAGAAAAATAAAACAATAAAATATTTAAAAGTTACCATTAAAATTTTTCAAGATAGAGTGATTGTTATTTAAAATAAAAAAATATTAACATGTTTTAAAGTACATGATTTAAATAAGTGATTAATAATAGATAATTTTGTTTTGTTGAAAATATTAAATATTTTTGGGCTAAAAAATATTAACATGTTTTAAAGTACATGATTTAAATAAGTGATTAATAATAGATAATTTTGTTTTGTTGAAAATATTAAATATTTTTGGGCGTGAAAATAGTAATTGATTTTTGATCTATTAAGGTGGAAAGTTTATTTAATGTTTTTTGGAGTTTTTCCTTAATACTAAGCCCAAAAACCAAACAATTAAATGTCATAAAAACAAAATTAAGCCCAAAACTCTATTCTATAAATAACCGCCGGTTTAATTTAAGTAATACGGTTCAATCAACTATATAACTTGTATTATTTGTAACACTCTAGAAATGGTCCAAATTTAAATGACAACTTGTATCAGTAAATAAAAAGAATGACTTTATTTTAATAGAATAGATATACATACACTCTTATACATACACGAACTTGAAAATCCACAGTTCAAACCACGAAATCATGATCAACTCGCAATATAAATTTGGTCGTGTATGTATAAGAGTGTATATATAAGAGTGATATCAAAACTACATCATTTAAATATATTATTTTTTTGTAAAAATTGCAGAATAAGAGAAATAAACAGTGACCAAACCAAAGAAATTTGATAGCATAAATAATTTAGTCACTGATTGTTTCTCTTGTTCTGCAATTTTTACAAAAAAAATAATATATTTAAACGACGTAGTTTTGATATCTGTTAAAAATATACACACTTTTATATACCTATACATGATCGAATGCTATATTGCAAATTGACTATTATTTCATAGTTTGACCTGTAGATTTTTAAATTTGCAGTTTAATATGCAAAATAAATCATCATGGAGGATTTTTTTTGCACAAGATCCAAAATTAAACTAGACTAAAAATAACTTTGAGTAAAGGAGGTGTTGAGAGAAAATTAGGTTTTTGTAGTTGTTAATTAAAAATGTTAAATACTGAATGTTTATAATTTTTCTATAATATTGGATAAATATTTGTTAAACTTTTCATGGACTTGTATTATTTCTTAGTGGAGTTTATTCTTCCTCGGATCTATTGTACTTTTTACTGGTTAACAACTTATCATATATATTATTTTAGTTCGGTCGATGTGCAAGCAACCTTGTAACGGTGGATTCCATATATATAAAGGTGCATGATAACATGATAAGCTTTCTTCTTTTATACTATTTGAAGAGCTACGGTTTTCTTTGCAGTTTTCACGATGCTAACAAGACCAAATTATTACTAATAACATCTACAGATCTCTGAAAAAAGTGATACACGTAGCAGATGACGAACTATTCGTACCCAGTTTCATTCAGACCTTTAAATCAGACAAACTTGAATTCGAAGAACACAACAAAACCTATTAGAGCATCAGCATTAATGAATCCCCATTTAAGGTTAACAAGCTAAATTTTTTTTTTTTTTTCCATTTGATCTTTTTTAAAAAATAAAAATTTAAACTGACCAATTGTGGACCGCCACGTGGCGTAGGATCCACGAAACAGTAGTGAACCAGGTTAAGGACAGTGAACTCCTGCGATCTGGGTTCATCAGTTTTGCATTATTTTTTTTTTTCTTGGTAATTGTGTGAACCCCATCAGACCATGTGCAATGGGAAATCCTTAGGGGGAGTCCTTAGAAAATATTAATTTTATAATCACTGGGTCCCATGAATAGTTAATGATTCTATCCTTAAAATCCTTATTTAAGGATTGATCCTTGCACTATTCACGGGCTCCACTGCACACGTGGCGACACGTGAATGGTCAATTTTTTTTTAAAAAAAAAAATTCTGAAATATCCTTATATAATCTAAAATACCCTTTTTATTTTTTTCCTAAGGATTCCCCCTAAGAATTCCCCATTGCACATGCTCTCATCATCCTATCCTTTGATGGGGGTGCTTCCGCAACTGGAGTTCTTAGGGAAAAATAATTAAATAATCAGTAGACCCCATAAAAAGTTAAGGATTCGATCCTTAAAATCCATAAATAAGGACTGTTTCTTAGCGAATCCTTACACTATTTATGACACGTGGCAGTCCGCGAATGGTCATCTTTATTTTTTTTCTTTTTTCTGTTTAGACAAATCCAAAATATCCTTACAAAATCTGAAATACATTTTTTCTTAAGGATTATTAGGAGTCTCACCATTGCGGGTGCTCTTAGATTCTCTATTTAGGAATTTATAATTTTAAATGCTTCTTTTGGTTGAACACGTTGCAATATAGTTTAAAATTTAGGAAAATGTAAGAAAACAAAAGGTGACTAAAGCATCGTAAAAGAGTATGTGACAAGGGCCACGGATCACGTTTTGGTAAACAAATGAGCCATGAAAAAAGCACAAAACAAATAAAGCTTCTCACAATACAAACAATGTGAAGGCCATACCATCTACGTTTCAAATCTTTTTCTATGACATGAAAAGAAAAATGATAATGTCACAAACGTTTAGCTAATATAAATAAGCCCAAAGGTTATTCTCATTGTTAGATACATCGTGGAATGGTAAATAAATCATTTTAACATTATAAAATGTTGGCTTTGTATTTCATTCTACTTGTTTGCGTGCCCTTAGCTATCATCATGACCTTCACGGCTCCCCGACTAGCCATCACCGTCGCCGTTAATCAACCAGCCTTCTTAGTAATACAAAACTACACTAAGACCCTTACACCTCACCGGGGAGTTACTTCTCATCAGCAACTAGATAACGATGAACTTCTGCTTCGTCAAGCTTCTAAAGTCAATCCAAAACCACCACCAAAACTGCCTAAGAAAGTAGCTTTCATGTTCTTAACAACAACTTCTCTTCCATTAGCACCACTTTGGGAACTTTTCTTCAACCAAACCTCTGACCACAACTCTCTCTACAATGCCTACGTGCATGTTGACCCCACAAAAAAACACAAACCGGATTTCTTCAGTAACCGGATCATACCTTCCTCAAAACCGGCTTACCGTCACACCCCAACACTCATCTCAGCCGCGCGTCGTTTACTTGCTCACGCGCTTCTCGACGACCCTTCAAACTACATGTTCATCCTTCTCTCCCCTTCTTGCATCCCACTTCACTCTTTCAACTTCACCTACAAGTCACTTACCTCCTCCACAAAGAGCTTCATAGAGATTCTCATCAACGAGCCAGGGTGGCACGATAGGTGGGCTGCGCGTGGCCCTTACGATATGCTCCCGGAGGTTCCACCTGAGGAGTTTCGAATAGGCTCACAGTTCTGGACACTGACAAGAAGCCATGCGAGGATGGTCGTGAGTGACGTGGAGATATGGTCCAAGTTCAACAAGCCTTGTGTAAGAAAAGAGACTTGTTACCCTGAGGAGCATTACTTCCCTACTCTCCTCCACATGAGGGATCCACAAGGGTGTGTTCCAGCTACGCTCACGCATGTTGATTGGAGTGTTAGCGACCATGGTCATCCCCGAACGTATAAACCATCTGAGGTAGGGGCTGAACTTATACAAAAGCTGAGAAGTGCACGTCTTAGGTATGGAGACGGCGGCAGAACGAGGAAGGACTCATTTTTGTTTGCACGGAAGTTCTCTCCGGCGGGGATCAATCCGCTCATGAACATAGCTCGAAATGTTATCTTAAATTGATTTATTTGGATCATGAGAACATCGCAAAACATTTAGACCATCATATTTCATTGCATATATTAACGTTAGGTTTAAGCTAGAACTAGAGTACTGGGGGTTTGATTGGCAGAGTATTATCATAAACGTTATGTTTTTTATTATCCAATCAATATTTACCAAATAAATATTTAGAAAAATATTTACCAAATGATAATGTTCTCATATAAAACTTTTAGAAATCATTTACAGTTAAAATATATAAAATTTAAAAATATTATATATGATTAATTATTTTAGTTAATTATATAAAAACTTGTTATAGTAAAACATATTTTAAAACTAAAAAATTGTAAATAAATATTTTTAACCTTTTTAAGAAAACAATATTTCAAATTTAAAATATAATATAATCTATATAATTACACATATCGTTTCATTCTTTTTAATTAGAAGCATAAGATAACATATATTTATATATTATAGATATAAAGATAACATATATTAATTTTTATGATAAGTTTATATATGAATCATTACTGCTCTATCAATAAAAAAATAATGCTAATTTTTATATAAATTACATATAATTAGTTAATTAATTTAATATTTTAATTTTTTTGTCTATATCTAATTTAATATTTTATAATAATTTTATTTTTAAAAAATAATAATAATTCACATATAAACTATAATATAATTCATATAATGAGTAAGATTCATTATTTTTAATAACAAAATTATTATTAATATATATTATAAATATATAAACAATATTTTAAAATAAATATATTATTATTATAACTATTATGATAATTTTAAAATTATATACTGTTACTGATATTCCAATCACTTTATTAAAAGAATTAATGAAAGCATACAATTCCTACATCATCCTGTTTCTACAGCATACTGTTACTGATTTACCATTTGCTATACGACGAGTCTATGGCGAGGTTTTTTTTTTTACTGCCGATGCCTAAGTTATTTAAATATGGTTTTGAGCATGAGTTTTATATAATATTATTCAATATATAGTTTGAAACATGGTTTTAAAAATCGGTTTAGGCGTCGGGTGGTTAATCTCTGATATCCAAAATATTTTTCTTAAAATTTGATTTATAAGACTCAAACCAATTTAAACTAGAGAAATTCTCTCAAATAGTTTTTTTTTTAAAAAAGTTTTTTTTCACAGGAATGGCCCTCTGAAAATAAAATGACCAAAGTAGCCTCTTTTTATTTTAAAATTTGTAATATTTATCTTTTATTTTTTAAATTTTGAAACCATATCCCCAAAACTTCACCCCTTAACTTTAAACCCTAAGTCGAGATTAGTTAACCATAGAGTATAAATATATATTTAATCTTTAAATAAAACATATTTTAGTCATTTTCCTCCTTGAAAGATATTTTGTGAAAATAATCTAAAAAGGGTTATCAATGGGAATTTCTCATTAAACTATTCTAAATTAGTTAAAATCGATCTAATTTTGTTAAATAAAATTAATGCCAATACAAATTCTCCATTTTTTATTTTATTTAGCAAATTTTGATAAATCGTCAAAATAGTTGTCTAATTAAACTCAAAAGACTAAAAAATCTTAGATAAATGTAAAATATATATATATATATATATAATAAATCAATAATTTGTTAATATTTAGACCTTGTCTAGTAGGACTGGTCCAGAGGGCAAGCGTTCCAAGCGGTCGATTAGGGCATATAATTTTAAAAATGCATATTTATTTTAAAAATATATAAGAATTTTCGTTAGTATTTATATGTAAACAGAATTTATAATCTTAATAATGATATTTGTAAGAAAGTTTAGCATTATTATAAAACTTAATTTTATTAATAAATTTCTTTAGTAAGTGTATAGAGAATAATTGCATCTTTAGATGATATTTTGCATCACAAATGATTTTAATAAAATTATGATGAATGTAGTCTAATGTTTATGATAATATTTAAAATAATGTTATATAGTTAATTTTATGAACTTTTTTTTCACTTCTCATGAATGAAATTGAAAGGTATGGTTTCGTTGTAAATAACTTCTCTTTGTGTTTTTAGCCATTTCAGTTTTTCAAGATTTCAGACAAATAATGAATTGACTGTGAATATATTTTTTGAAGTGGATAATTTGACTTTAAATGTTTTTGAACAGTTTATGAATTTTTAATTTAACTAATATTCTAAATACATATATGATGTTAAATAAAAACATAAAAATATATATTAAATTTTTGCTTAGGGCATCCAAAAACATTGGACCCGAAATGTGTCTAGACCACAAATATTATGTTTAATTGCTAATCCTCTGCAAAACCTAATTACCGCAGCGATTTCTTTAACATTGGTTTGATTTTATTTTATTTTTTGCAATTTTAAATGAGTTGAGTCTCGTGGAGATTTTTATGTTGAAAATATTTCAATTTAATAACGGGTTTTGCTATTAGTCCAACACACTTACCTTATTAAGGAGACGTCATTACATTTTTGAGAATGGAGAGTAACTAAATATCACAAAATTCGATATAATTAGAAAAAAGGCAAAATGCCAAATTTAGTAAAAAAAATGAATGAAATAGAGAAGAAACCACAAGAAACGCGGCCGACCCTGACTTATTCAACAAGGATTCTCTCAGCAACAACAAACAAAACAAATGAATAATAACAAAAACGCCCATCCATCAACACCAACTTCCGTCGTCTGATTCGAACCCTAAACGAATCAGAACAACAGACACTCCTCCGAATTCACCAAACTTCATCCTTTCTTTCGAATCTCGATTTAGAAAAAGAAACCCTAAGATTGATTTGAATCACTTCCTAAACCAATCTTGAAACCCTGATCCATCAAAGATGTATCCTGTTCCCTAGGGTTTCTAGATTCTCATTAAGAATATGAGCTTTCATCGTCGGACTTTTTCATACGACAAGCTTCCTGCCGAACCCATTAGACTCTCCGTTCTCAAGCTAGATGGCTCTTCCTTCGGTAAATTGCAATATTATCTTTAATTTTTGGTTTTGGTAATTAAATTCGATTTTAATTTTATTTAATACGTGAAGATGTTGACGTAACGTGCTCGGCGACCGTTAAGGATCTTAAGCATGCCATAGAGACTGCCTTCAGCCACGTCCCCAAGAAAGGACCCTCCAAGATCTCATGGTACTTTTTGATTACATCTTTTTTTGCTATAGAGTCCCATTATGGTTAATAATGCAAATTGTTAAAAGAGTGTATTTTAATGGTGAAGGCCACACGTGTGGGGGCATTTCTGCTTGTGTTTTGAGGGGCAGAAGCTGGTTACCGATACGGAGTGCATCGGAAGTTATGGGATGAAGGACGGTGATGAGGTTAGCTAATCTTCCATCTCATTTTCATGATAAGTGAGGTTTAGGCAGGAGAGATTATTCAGTACATAACTCAACACGTTGTTGTTGCATATAATGTTTCAGGTAAGGTTCAAGAACCATGTGTCTGGCAATGCCGTATTGAACAAGGGATATTCTAGAAAATCCAAACAAAAGAACTCGTAAGTCTTTATTCTTTTCTACACTATATGTTCTTGATGAACAATGTTTATTACAGATTAACAATTGTTGTACTAAATATTACAGAGAAAGGGTAGGGCCAAAGGATGAAGATGAGGAAGTCAATAGGATGGAGGAGATTGATCAGGGTTCTTGGGATGATCTCGAGAAAGGAAGCGTAGTTAGGTACAGAGACGATGGCTTAGAAACTTCTCTAGGGGAACACAGGACTTGTCCCAATGCTCTCAGAGGTTGCTGCTTTGCTTTTGGTTTGAAAGAGCTTTTTGGGTTTGGCAATAATGATACAAGCTATTACTCTTTGAGAGATACTTGGAGAGACGATTGATTCATTTCCTTTTTCCTCATTTTTGTTTTTCTATTTGCTAAGATTTTTGGTCACACAGGAGACTTTTAACTTTTTTTGTAATCAACTACAAAATGATTCAAGGATTTATATTACAAAGGATAGTATGTTCAGGGAAAAGCTTATACAATGATTAACAGTACAGATAGTGCCTTAAAACAAAAGTGGAAAAAAAAAAACAGAGCTTTTGGCAGAAGACAACACAAAAAAAAAAACAACTCTGAAGAGTTGTAATGGCGACTAAGAAGTTTACACCGCCATTGCCAAAAGCTCTACACGAGGAAGATGTAAGGCACTACCACAAACCTAAACCAGAGAACAAGAACTCCCCCACAAGAACATGATAAAAGCATAGAGAGACAACTACTCCAAAAAAGGTCAAGACCAAACCCTAACTAGATCACCAGAACTCATTGACATGTTCATAGGGACACAACAGCTGTAGAAAACAGGCTCCTTTGTTTAGAAGAAACCTGCTAAAAATTGATAAAAAAACAGCTGCTGCTTCCTAGGAAAGAAACTGAGTTCTAAGGTGAAATCTATGGGTTTAGCGACCAAAAGCTAGAAGACGAACTTTGACTAATACTTACTAAAGTGGTACTTTCTTGGGGGATTTAGTACAGTATATCGCACCTCCATAGATGTTCCAGAAGGGCATCCACAGTGCTGCTGCTGATTCTACCGCATCTTTGGATGTTCAATCCCAACAGTGTGCGGCCAAGTTTTTGTATGCATGACTTGCTTTTGTCTGTGATCGCTGAGCAGCCACCAACTGAAAGAACCTGAAGATTCAGGTGGTTGGGAGAAGATGCCAAGGCCTTGACGCCGTGATCTGAAACCATAGTGTTTGAGATGTCTAGGTCATTGACTGAGTAGCAGTTCTTGGATACTGCGACAAGGCTTGCATCAGTGATGTTCTTGCAGCCATCAAGGTTGAGAGACTCCAACGTGCGTCCATGGCACATGGATATTGCAGACACTGTGTTGTCTGAGACATTGATGCATCCGCTAAGATTCACCTTCACTAGACCAACGTTGTTGCTTTGAAGCAACTCGAACACACCTGCATCTGTTACTCCGTTCAATCCACAGAGTTCAATATCCTGAAGCTGGTGACAGAACTTTCCTAAGAAGGAGAGAGTTGCATCTCCAAAACCAGGGCAGCAACGGATTGATAGTGAACGCAAGGAGCTGCAGCTGGTTGATGGCAGAGGAGCTTCTGAGTTGAAGTCCTGGATTCCTAAACAGTTTGCCAAAGAGAAGGACTTCAACTTTGCGCCGCAGTTCATGAGAAAACCCAAGAAACCAAACTGGTTGATTCTATGGCATTCCTCAAGTTTCAAACTCTCCAGGGACGATGCAGATTTGGCCAAAGAGACGAGTCCTTTGCCAGAAACAAGTAAGCATTTGTTCAGAGATACATGCTTCAGATCAGGGCAACCATTTCCAACAGCTTCAAGCCCAACATCAGTCATGCCTCTGCATGACGTTACCGATAGGGACTTCAGTTTCTTCATCCCTTTTGCATTTCCCATGACCCAGAAGCCTTTCTCATTCACACCTTGAAGACCATGAAGCACAAGATCAGTAACTCCTGCTCCGTAGTGACCAAGAACAGCAAGAGACAGACCAGTTACATTCACCATCTGAAGCTTCACCTTTGTCAAATAAGAACCAGCTTGAGCCAAGAGGAAAGAAACTCCCTGATCTCCAATACGTGGACAGCTCCTGATAGAGATAGATCTCAGATTAACACATCCTCTTGCAACAGCCCTTAACCCCTCGTTGCCAACACCAGAGCACGAATCGATCGTCAGATCACTTAGATTCTTGCAGTTCTCAGCGATTGCAACCAAACCCTTGTCAGTTATCCCCGGACACCGTGAAAGGTCAAGCTTTTCAAGCATAGGACACGACCTAGCGATCTCAGACACACCAACATCACTAACAGCAGGCAGATTCCACAAAGACAGGACCTTTAAAGACGAACAACCCCTAGCAATCGCTCCAAGCCCCGCATCTGTAACTTTACTCTCAAACCCACTCCCACGGATCTGAAGCTTCCCCAACCCGCCACGTCCCGACGTCCCAACAGAGATAGCAGCCAACCTCAGATCCGTAGCTTTCTTCCCTTCCAAACTCCTTGACAAAAAACCTTCACTCTCCACATCTTGTACAGACTCATTCTTACTGATACTACTCAAAACATTAAGCCAATGCTTTGAGACACAAGCGCAGGCCATCCTCTCTTGTCCAGAAGAAGGCAAGCGTCTGAGAATCTCAAACAAACACTCATCAGGCAACACTTGGATTGAAGTTTGCTTCTTCTCAAAACCGCTGTAAAACGAAGGCGCATCAGCGGAAACACGTAGTCTCTTGCGTGCTGGGAGGTATACGCCGGGACAGCTTCCCGGCGACGATAGATGCATCGATGTGAAAAACTCGTCATCACCTGTGTAAATCAAAAACAAGTCAAGATCCATCATTTTACTCTAAATTCGAAACCCTATAACCTAATTACAAGTTCCTCCTCATCAACAGATCTATAATTAGAAAGTAATTCGAAACCCTAGAATCTAATCCTCATCAACAAATCTATAATTAGACATTAATTCGAGATTCTAAATCAAACCCATGATTCAGGGAAGGTGTGAGATTCGAGAACATACCACTAAAGCTGAAGATCCCAGACATGATTCGATCACGATTTGAAGAAACTCGAGGAAGAAGACGACGATTAACAGAACAAAACTCAAATTCATGAAACGAGAAGAACCCTAGGAGATAGGGCAAAAAGGGTAGCGAAGATTTACAGAAAGATGAAAACTTTGAGAGATATGAGAGAAATGAGAGAAATTGTGAAACTGTCTTTTAAGGAAGGGGAAGATGTTGGGGAGGTTACGGTGGGGGTTAATGTAGGGGATAAAAACTCTTAGGTTCAATGTATACACGCGAGAAAGTCGGATTCCTTCTCCTTCTTCTTTGTTCCTTGAACCCACCGAACCTCCCCCCAATTGTTATTATTTTTTAATTTTCTCCTCACGACATAAACATTATTATAAAGGATTAAAATATTAATAAATTTATATCGTAAAAGGTTGACAGAGAAGGCTGAATACATTGACGGAAATGTCGAATACATGCATTGTTGACGAAGCATCACATTGATAATGAGAGGTCGACTTGGTTAATTTTTTATTACTAGATGCATAGTCCCCGCGCAAGCGCGGGGGTTAGATATATTGTTGATGTGTTGTGTAATTTTGTGTATGAGACTTTGCTAACTTTTTTTTAACATTTGTTTATCTGGCTTATCTATAATGGTGATGAATGAAATATTAGAAGTCACACAACTTGATTAGTCTGATAAAATAATAAACATCAAATTCATATGGGTTGATATTTTCATATTTTATTTTCGTAGTGATTTTATCGAGCATTCCCTTTATTAGTGATTTTATCGAGCATTACTGTTATTAGTGCTTTCATGTAAAAAAATAATTTAATGGAGACAAGAAAAAAATGACATGTGTTTATTAGTGTAATTTTCTTTCTGAAATTATGTTGTATATATATATATATATATATTTTTTTTTAATTGTGATGTATATGAGATTTATGGCCGATCTGAATGGTTCGGGGTAAATATTTATTATTGAAAAATATGTTATTATTTTATTTGATTATTATAACTGAATTGAAATGATATTGGAGGTTAGAACATGATAACATTTCTTATAAAAATATCTAAGATGGTCTCATAAAGTTTCAAATCCTTAAGCCATTTTGTATCCCAACAACCAGCATAAAAAATCATTCTGAATCTTAAGTTTTTAGGTATCCCAAAAAGTCCAAATTAAAAAAAAAATTTTAATGCAAACACTACGTTTCGAACCCGCGCACTCGCGGTACCAACTTCTAGTCACCAACTTACACCACTGGGCCATTTCATCACTCATTGATAACATTTAATCTTACAAAATATTATATGTTTTTGTTTTCCCTAATAACACACGTGGGGCCCGCAAACTTGCTGAGGTGGATAGGCTTAGGAGTCTTGAAAGTGTATCATTATAATATAGATTATTATATACTATCTAGTTGTAGAACAACATGACTGTACGTCTGTAACAATGATAGTCATTGTTTATTTGAAAATAATATCAGATCTTGGATATCTCGTAGCATGTTTTCTAATGATGTTATACATGGAGATAACATAAGCCTTTGTTCAAGAAAGATATATGAAGATACCATAATCAAAATCCAAATCCATGGTGATCTTGTATTTGAGAAGTCCAATTTGAAAAGCTCTTCTGGCTTCGATTTGTGAATCATTTAAATAGGTAGAATATGATATTTCTTAGAAACATATTTGTATTTTCAAGGGAATTATTCAATCATAGATATTACTAGTAAATTATTTCAGACAACATAATTCATTTTTATTCAATAAATGATCATAGATTTTGCATTAGTTCTTGCTGTTACAGTATTAGATATGATATTAATGTGTTCAATCAGAGAATTAATTATCCGATTAGATATTAAAAAAACAACAGGAAGTATTCGTTATATATAGCTCATAATAACTACTCCCTCTGTTTCATTATAAGTGTCACTCTACAGTTGTGCACACGGATTAAGGAAACAATTAATTTTACATATTTCTTATATAAAAACACAGTTACCTATACACCTAACCATATTTTAACCAATAGAAAAACTAATTACATGATAAAATTAATAAATTTTGCATTGAAAACCGAAACGACACTTATTTTGTAACGCAAAAAATTCTCTACAACGATACTTAATATGAAACGGAAGGAGTATTTTGTTTCAGAGTGAAAAGATGATAGACTCGACTCCCAGTCTTTCGTATTTGGTACGTAAAAAACTTAACTCTAAGCCTAAAAATAAGCCCAGAGGTTAAATATAAAACCTACATTAGTTCTCTTAACCACACTGAGCCAGTTAGTTTTCTAATAGAAAACCCCCCAACAAAATCTCCATTATGTATACTTGTAACACCTTAATTAGTCACATTTAAACAATTAGCCAGTGGAGTTGTTTGCTGTGCTGTTCATGTATTTAGATATGTCAATTTTCACCAGTTGCAGCATCATTAAATATCAAGTTATGAGATCAAAACAAAAATAAAAATGGTGTGAGGTTATAAAAGGAGAAAAGTAAAGAATATAATTGTTTAAAAGGCAACGAAAGTGATGGTTAACGGTTGACAAAAAAAAAAGAATAAGATTGGATACATTGAAGGAGAGGACATTGTTTCAGTACATGCACTATAGACAGACCCTTTCTTTTTCGTTTGCTGAAAATTGTTGACAAAGCAATGGAAAGTTTGAGTTCTTTGAATTTTTATAGATTTTCACATTGAGGGGAAAAAGAAAAGGATTGTGCACATGAACTATTGTTTGTTGTAAAGAATTAATCCAACGGTGAAATATGCATGTCGCCGTTACATAGTTTATTCAATAAATCTATGAGCAAAAAATAATTATTCCTAATAAACAAGGTGTAGTGCCTGGATAACCTTGGATAGTAAGACGAATCAACATTTCGTAGTAACTTAGCACACACTGACACAACACTAATTCGCTTCAGAAGAGTACCGGACACAAGTCATGCATTTAGTAAGAACATATAGATGGAACAACAAGATCTTTTTATTCATACTCTCTACACATATGCTTTAGAAAACTGAACATGAACGATATTTGAAAATCATCCAATATGTAATGTATACACGCGAGAAAGTCGGATGCCTTCTCCTTCTTCTTTGTTTCTTGAACCCACCGAACCCCAATTGTAATAATCATATTATTTTTTAATTTTCTCTCACGACATATTATTATAAATGAGAAAATACAAATATAAATTTATTTCATAATGTTTTGAGAGCTAAAGGTTGACAGAAAAGGCTGAAGACATTGAAGGAATGGCAAATAAATCAAATACATGTATTATTGACGCAAGAGATCGACTTGGTTGATTTTTTAATAACTCTATTATTTAGTTGTAGAAAAACATGACTGTAACAATGTTCCTTTTTAGAACAATATCAAATCTTGGATATCTCGCAACGTATTTTATAATGATGTATATATGGGGATAACATAAGCCTTTGTTCAAGAGATATGAAGATCGGTTACAAAAAAAGATATATGAAGATACCATAATCCAAATTCATGCTGATCTTGTATTTGAGAATTCCAATTTGAAAAGCTCTTCTTGGCTTCGATCTGTGAAATATTTGAATAGGTAGAATATGATATTATTTAGAAACATATTGGTATATTCAAGGGGATTATTCAATCATAGATTTTACTAGAAAATAATTTCAGACAACATACTTCATTGTTATTCAATAATAACTACAAATTTTGCATTAATACTTGTCTGTTAGTGTTACAGTATTAGATATATAAATTAATTGGTGCAATCATGGAATTAATTATGAGATTAATTATATAGAACCCAACAGAAAGTATTTGTATAGCTCATAATAACAACTAATTTCTGAGTGCAAAGCTGATAAAACCGAGAAATAAGTCCAAAGATTAACTCCAAAGCCTATATTATAGTTCTCTTAACCAAACTGATCCGGTTTGTTCACTAATATAGAAAACCTCAATAAATATCCATCATGTCTGCTTGTAACAAATTAGGGCCTTACTGGTTTGTCCGCTATTATCCGCAAACGTAGCTTTTGAGGTTGATAGCGGTTGTTGGCGTTTTGCAACAATCATTCAAATCATTCTGAACCGTTTCAAATCGCTTTAAACCTCTTAAATTCAAAAGGTAGTTTCAAAGTTTACGATTGCGAGCGGTTGCGGGAGAGTGTTTTCTTTTCTTTCCTTTAAGACAATACAATAACAAAAATAAAAATATTCAATAAAATTTTTAAATTATAATTATAAAATACTAAAATATATTTATTATATTTTAATTAATATTATTTAAAAAAATTTAAAAATAAATAATTTTAAAATTTAAAACTATAAATTTACAAGTATAATTTTTATAGTTATTATGATATTATGATTTTTGGTATTTATAATTATATAAAATTTAAAGATTTTTAATTTATATTTTAATCGTTACTGCATTTGGTAGTTAACCAGGTATAAATATCCCGCAAACACACCAATTTGTAATCGCAGTACTAATCGTACAAATCTCTTATAACCACAAGAAAAAGCAATCACCCGCATCCACAAACTCCCGCAACCGCAACTGCTGCGTTTGAACCAGTCAAACCCTTAGTCACAGTTAAACAATCAGCCAATTTGAGTTGTGTGTTACATGCTTGTCATGTATTTAAATGTGTATAGTTTCACTAGTTGCAGCATCATTAATTAACAAGTTCTGAGAACAAATAAAAAATAAAAATGTTGGTGAGGCTATAAAAGAAGAAAAGCAAAGAATATTATTGTTTGAAAGGCAACGAAAGTGATGGCTAAGGCTGACAAACCAAAAAGATTGAGTACGTTGAAGAAAAGGACATCGTTCAGGTACATGCATTGTAGACAAACCCTTTTTCTTGGTTCGATGAAAATTGTTGACAAAGCTTTTGAAGGTTAGATGAGTTCTTTAAACTTTTATAGATTTTCACATTTGAAGGGAAATAAAAATAAACATGATTGTGACGACATGAATCATTGCTTGTTTCTAAAGAATCATCCAACTGTTGGGTATGTCGTTACATACTTTATTTAGTTAACTTCTAAGCGAAAAACAATAAGTATTGCTCAAAACCAGTGTGTAATGTTGAGCAAGACGAATCAACGTTCGCAGTAAGTCAACATACAAAAACTAATTAGTAACCAAGACAAGTGATTATTTTCTTTTTGAAAAATTACCAAGATGAAGGTGAGAGTGACGTAGAAGACAATGAAGAATCTCATTGTGATAATGGTCAGAAGAAATGTACAACTTGAAACATAATTTTACTTTCTGGGCAATAATTGATTTTGGTACGATTTTCTTCAAAATCAGTTCACACCCCCTTATCGTTTATACTTACAGAATAAGACTAAAGATCCCATAATTCAGATATTACACACATGATAAGAGAAAAGAAATGATGAAAGTAAGTTTGAAAGAGTTTCAGCAAATCAATCATACAAGCCCTCTTGCTCCCACACATCCACCAGAAAGTCCACCATTTCCTGCAACAAATCAATAATCATTACAGACAGGGGTGGAGGCAAAGAAGAGGTTGTGGGGTCACATGACTCCAATAAATTTTGGGAAAAAAAAATTTAGTGTAGATTTTTCTAAAATTACTTTAACATTTTGGCATTTGACCCCACTAATTTTATGTTTATGTTTTCATATGCCCCCATCAAACAAAATATTTTTTGTTATAGTATCATATATTATCAATTTTTAATATCAAATTTGTATATTATCACCCCGGTAAAAATTATTTCTGGTTCCGCCACTGATTACAGATCAACAAACCCTAAACTCACATGTAAATAAATCTGGGATAAGGAGAAAGATGCTTACAGAGAGAGGTATTGGGCGTGAGAACCGCTTGTTCATACCCAACAAGCTCTCGTATGTTGCATTCCAGCTGCAGCCAAAAAAAACAAAACAATAATATTAACTCATGAACTTTTACGAATTATCTGTATCAACAAGAGCTATGATATGGCTAAGTAATCACGAGGACACCATTCTTGCAACAACAGCCTTTTGAATGTCAAGCTCTTGCCAATCTTTGGATGGCTTGCTGATGCATATGTATTTTGATGGAAGTCCATTTGAATAAACATGATANCAAAAAAAACAAAACAATAATATTAACTCATGAACTTTTACGAATTATCTGTATCAACAAGAGCTATGATATGGCTAAGTAATCACGAGGACACCATTCTTGCAACAACAGCCTTTTGAATGTCAAGCTCTTGCCAATCTTTGGATGGCTTGCTGATGCATATGTATTTTGATGGAAGTCCATTTGAATAAACATGATAAATGAATGGTGTCACGCAATTGAATTTCTATTACTAGTATTCTCCAGCTTACAAGTGCAACAACAATGTTAGGTTGATGAGAAAGTAACTATTGATGGAAGCACTGAATGATCTAGCTAACAACCGAAGTTCATGAAATTACACATGTTTCTTAAGCAAGAAAATGTTATATGCTATAATAACAGAGAAATTTGTGTATATAGCAAATTATGTTGAGAAGATGAATGGCCATCTAAATTACCGCAAACTTACAATTTTGTTTTATCTGTGAATGAACATTAGTGAAAAAGAAAGAGAAAGCTAACTACCACCAACCTTATTGTAGGTTCTCGAACTTTGGCCTTTGTTTGAGAAGATCCATTTGCAAGCCACTGTTGTCTAGTCTGGTTCCAGAGGTTCAATCCTAGCCAAGGAAAAAAAGAACATACACAACACTTTTTAAAAAGAAGTTTAGACATAGCAGAGAACCATGATGTAAAATAAAATAAAAGCAATCTGAGAGTCTGAAGAAATAACACGTCAAGATGCAGGCCAAAACATACCAATAATCAATAGAGAGTGTCAGTGGAAACAAACAATGTGTGAGAAAATTAAACTCACCAGTATTAACAAATTCATTGGGGTTGCTACTACTTGCAGTGTTGTTAGTGAAGCTAATAGAAGACACGCTTCTTTGTGACTGCATTGTGCTGTTATCCATCTCGCAGGTGCTCGTGCTCCAGAAATCGTCTGATACGCTTGGCTTCTTCACTAAACGACCTTGTATCCTTAAACCTTTAGACGGCTCATCCACTGCAACTATAAGCGGTGGTGGTTTATTGCAGCTCCCAAAACAACCTCTGTACTGTTTCAAAACCCACAGACACAAAACAAAAACGCCAGTGAGAAAGAATTTCATCAGAAATGCAGAATAGAATACGAGTGGATAAGTATACATGAGATTTCAAGTCACAATACTTATCCTCTAGAGTAAAGTTTCAATCATGAGACAAAAAATAACAAAACTAAAACTTGAGAGAAGCTTTGAATCCATATTCTTTTGCTTAAAATGCAAGCAACAACCATATACATATAACATATGCACAGTTTCCATAAATATAGATAGCAGTAGCTAAACCAACCTAACCTACAAATACAAGGAAACAATATAGCCACAAGATCTCAAAAAATGATGGGTCAAGACATTAGATATGAATAAAGTTTTCAATTTTACTCAATCTTCAGAAGAAGATTCATCTTCCTTCCTCAGTCACTTACATCAAAAAAGACAAAAGCTTTAGATCCAGACTCACCCCATGCAACCAAATAACTGGTAGATCCAAGAAGGAATATATTCACGGATATGCATCTACAGCAACCAAAGTAACGAGCTTCTAATCAAGATCCTAATCCCAGGCAGCAGAAGTCTCACAATCCTGCAATTTTAAATATTCCAAGAAATCAAGAACTGAATCGGAAAAAAACACCAACTCTGTTCATTTTCTTCAAAATACGGAAAACAACCTCAAAAATGGCATATTCGGGGGAAATTGAGATAAGGGTTTTGTTCAGCCACCTCCCCAGCAGCTTGATTGATTACAGAACAGAAGTGTTTCTTCTTCTTCTTCGTTCTTTATTCCACTTTTTGTTCTCCAACTCGTGTTCTGCGTGTGTGGTGGTTCTGCAAGGAATAGAAAAATTCTGTTTTTTCTTTTCACAAATAGATTTTTCAGTTATTCTTTACAACTTGTGCTTCTATAATAAATACATCTTTTTTGAGAAAAACCTACCTACCACTTAAAAATTAAAATCAATCAACCAGCTCTTAAATATGACGTTAAGTCACATCCCATTAAAAGAGAATTACATTTGTCACATGGCACTCATACAGAGCTTGTCAAAAGAATTCTCATAATCTTATTGGTTGATTTTTTTAGAATTTCTTTTTTGATTTATTTTTATCATCGACAACCTAATAGGAAAGCAACACTAATTACTAACCTCATTACATATTACTTGCACAAGAATATTAATTAATCACTACAAGAAAACGCTTGATTACCGACCAACAGTTACGACCACGAAATGGTGATCGTAATTTTACGTCTGTGTTACGACCAGTCAACAACCAAAAAGATATTGGTCGTAAAACAGAAGTAAATTTGGGACCACATATATTGGTCGTAAAGCAGAAGTGACTTAACCTCCAATTTACGACCAAAAGAAAATGTGGTCGTAAAGTAGAAGTTTGTCGACTACGGAATTACGACCAAATATTTAGCTTCGCATTAACTACCAAATTACATGCACGTGGTAGTTTATTCGAAGTAACAAAACTACCAAATTACATGCACGTGGTAGTTTATTCGAAGTAACAAAAATTTGGTCGTAAATAGGGGGTAATATTCCCCACTTACCATTTCGAAATTTACCTATAAATACGATCTCATATTCCATTTTTTAGATACACCAAAAAAAAATAAACAAGATTGTCAAAAAAAAACGAAACAAGATAGAGAAAAAAATGTCTCGAGATATTTATGAGCTTCGAAGTTGGATGTATACACATAAAGATTCTGAGGGAAGAGTGACATCGGAGTTCCTCAACGGGACAGAAATATTCATGTACTAGGCCGGAAACACGTCTCTCACAGAGAACAACATTTACCTTCGGAGGATCAGGTGGTAGATCATGATAGGATGCATGAAATGGTTACTGATGCATTTCGTGAAACAAATCCAGTAATTGCTGCAGAAGTAGAAAATGTAGAGGTGGGAGTAGAAAATGTAGAGGGGCCTAACTTGGAAGCCAAAAGATTTTATGACATGTTAGCCGCTGCTAATCAGCCAATTTATGAAGGTTGTAGAGATGGTCTTTCTAAGTTATCATTGGCAGCTAGGATGATGAATATCAAAACTGATTATAACTTACCTGAAGTTTGTATGGATGCATGGGCGGAGTTGTTTAAAGAGTATTTGCCTGAAGATAATGTGANAAGACTGCGGCAGCGATGAGATGGCATGCAGAACATACTCAGAAGGACGGCGAGATCAATCATCCCTCAGATGCAAAAGCGTGGAAACACTTGAATTCGGTGCACAAGGATTTTGCAAGCAACATTCGCAATGTTTATCTTGGATTATGCACAGATGGATTTAGTCCTTTTGGAATGTCTGGAAGGCAATACTCACTTTAGCCAGTCATCTTGACGCCATACAACCTTCCACCAGAGATGTGTATGCAAAGGGAATTCCTTTTCATGAGTATATTGATTCCTGGGCCTAAGCATCCAAAGCGATCCCTAGATGTTTTCTTACAACCTCTGATAGAAGAATTGAAATAATTGTTGTCAACAGGGGTGGAAACATATGATTGTTCAACGAGAACCAACTTTACAATGCGAACCGTTCTTCTGTGGACTATTAGTGACTTTCCAGCATATGGGATGCTATCAGGTTGGACTACGCATGGGAGACTAGCGTGTCCTTATTGTATGGGAAGCACTACCGCATTTCAACTGAAGCATGGTAGGAAGACGTCTTGGTTTGATGAAAATCGGAAATTTCTCCCTCTAAGCCATCCGTATCGACGAAACATAACGTTATTCAAGGCAAAAGTGGTTTTACGGGACACCGCACCTCCTTATTTATCTGGAGAGGAAATTGAGAAAGATATCGATTACTATGGTGCACAAGAAACAGTCAAGAGAGGAGGTAATTGGCATACTCCTGGAAATATGGCTGATGGTTACGGTACACAACATAACTGGCACAAGAAGAGTATATTCTGGGAACTTCCATACTGGAAGGATTTATTGTTGCGACACAATCTAGATGTGATGAATATAGAGAAGAACTTCTTTGAGAACATCATAAATACATTACTGAATGTACCCGGGAAGACAAAAGATAACAAGAACTCAATGTTGTATTTGCCTGGGTTATGTTGTAGGAGTGAGCTGCATATTAAAAGCGATGGGAAAATTCCAGTTCCCATTTTCAGATTGTCAGCAGAAGCGAAGGCGGCGTTGTTTAAGTGGGTGGCATCAGATGTGAAGTTTTCCGATGGATACGTGTCAAATTTATCTAGATGTGTTGAGCAGGGACAAAAGTTTTCTGGGATGAAGAGTCATGACTGTCATGTATTTATGCAACGACTTCTACCATTTGCCTTTGCGGAGTTGCTTCTAAACAATGTTCACGAAGCACTTGCTGGTAACTTTTCATTTAAATATATATATATATATATATATATATATATATATATATATATATATATATATATATATATATATATATATATATATATAACAGATTTGCATGTCGGAGTTAATTATAGAATATTATATCTTATTAATATGCAATTGGATTTACAGGTATTGGAGCCTTTTTCAGGGATCTCAGCTCACATACATTAACTGAAGATATCATCAGTCAACTTGATGATAATATCCCGATCTTGATGTGTAATCTTCAGAAAATTTTTCCGCCATTCTTTTTTGACGTCATGGAACATCTAGTTCTCCATCTCCCACACGAGGCATTGCTACGTGGACCGGTACATAACGGATGGATGTATTCTTACGAGCGATCCATGAAATACTTAAAAGGGAAAGCAAAAAATCATGCAAGGGTGGAAGGTTCAATAGTTGCTGGGAGCTTGAATGAGGAAACATCTCACTTCACTTCGTATTACTTTGGCTCAAAAGTCCGTACAAGAAAACGGGTTCCGAGCAGATATGACGATGGTGGTGTTATTCCGACTTATATTGAAAAGGATGTTCCTGACATATTCTGTCAGATTGGACGTCTAGGTGGAAAACTAAAAGAAGTTTGGTGGTCGAGTACAGAAAATGCTCACAGTGCCCACACATATATACTTCTTAATTGCGAGGAGTTTCAAGAATTTGAAAGGTAATTAATTATATAAGTTAAAATTACATGTTTGATGATATTTAATTAATATTTGATGATCTATCATGGTTCTAAAAACAGCGATTTCGTTGCACAAGTTGAAGAAGCTTTACCAGGAATATCAATTAATGATCTCAACAAAAGGAAAGAGCAACACTTTGTGCAGTGGTTAAAAACACAGGTAAACGAACATATATATAATTAATATATATATATATTATGTTATTAATTTTTAATATGAATTAACAACTTATACATGTACAAGTTAAGTATGATGATCCATACTATAGTGCGTGGGTTCATGAATTGATACAAGGTCCAATTGCTAAGGTGACCACAGCACCTATGTATTTCACACGAGGTTACACTTTTCACACTTACGAGTATGGAAGTCGTCGAGCAACGGTGAACTATGGAGTATGTGTAAAAGGCGAAACAGATTTCTACGGAATATTGCAAGAGATCATCGAGGTGGAATTCCCTGGATTAGTGAAGATGAAATGTGTCCTCTTCAAATGTGATTGGTTCGACCCGACGGTTAATAGGGGTATTCGGTATAACAAATTTGGAGTTGTGTATATCAATTTAAGACGGAGGTACAACAAATTTGAGCCATACATCTTGGCAGCTCAAGCAGACCAAGTTTGTTTTATTCCATATCCACGGATTAGAGAATCTGGAATATCCTGGTTAGCTGCTATTAAAGTTACACCTCGGGGTCGTGTAGTGAGTGACGATGAACAACCGCCTTTGCAAGGAGATGCGGTTAACGAAGTGGCAGTGCTTGAACAACCTGTTGATGAAATTTTACTTGTTGATCCTCAAAACCTAGGATACGAAGATCTTCCAGATGACTTAGCGGATGAAGGCAACGAAGATGAATTTGAAGAAAATGATGAAATAGATGATGGTTCAGAAGATGATCATGATGAGCAATAACATATATATGTATTTTGTATTGTATTAATGTTTCTGAAGTTTTGTGTTAATACTTTTAAAGTTAATATTTTTAATATTAAATAAGAATTTTTCTGTTATATTGAAGTTTGGGGTTTGGGGTTTGGGGTTTAGGGTTTGGGGTTTGGGACATAGGGTTTAGATGATATATTGAGGTTTAGAGTAGAAGTTTAATTAAGGTTTGAAGTTTGGGGTTTGGGGTTTGTGGTTTCGGACATAGGGTTTAGACAACTGTAGTCCCTTTTTGGTCGTAAATACACAAGTGGTCCCAGACTGGTCGTAATATATATATATATATATATATATATATATATATATATATATATATATATATATATATATATATATATTTTTTATATATTCGTCCCTTATTGGTCTTAATTTTGGTCCCTTTCTGGTCGTAAAAAACGGGTGGTCCCAGGCTGGTTGTAACATATATATATTTTTAATATTGGTCACCTTTTGGTGGTAACTATTAGTCCCTCTCTGGTCATAAAGCACTTGTGGTCCCAAGCTGGTCGTAAAAATTCCCTATAAAATACCAAGTTCCATTCGAAATTTGTACATCAAAACACAAACATCTCTTTCTTTAAACATCAAAACACCATTTGAAAAAAACATAATATTTAGTTTTTGCCTAAGATATTTGTAAAAATACCATAGACAAATTCTTCCATAGATTTGAAATATTTCTGTAGAAGATTTGTCTAAGGTATTTATACATGTC